ATATATTTTGAAGCGATTTTGTTATAATATATGACTAAATTAGCTCCCGTGTGATGCATAAATATATAGCACTGTCAAAAACCGAACCGAACCGGTGAAATCGAACTGTTTCAACCGATCCGAATGAGAACCGAACCGATTAAAAACCGATTTTATAAAATCGAAAATCGACCCGAACCGCATGTTAGTAAAACCGAAACCGAACCGATCCGAGTAAACGTTAAACCGTGTAAGAACCGAACCAAATCTAAACCGAACTGAAAGGAAACTGAACCGAACCGTTTCTAACCCGAAACCGTTTGAACTGACATAAAAAACCGTTTACACCGAACCGTTAACAAACCGCAACCCGTTTGCACCGAGCCATTTATAAACCGAACCGTTTATGAACCAAACCACTTATAAATCGAACCGTTTACAAACCGGTTATAAATTAATTACATTTCTCGAATCCCGATAAAACGATATATATCTTCATAAAATCAGCTTATATATATTTTTTTTAACACACACATTAACTTATTAAGTTATTTAAATTATAAAATGTGAATCGGTTAGCGTGTAAATGTCTAGCGTTGCAATTAATAAAAAATCGAATACCGTATAATAATATAATGACGTCATATATTAGAGAGTTAGAAGTACTACGGATTTGTTATATGATTATATTTATATCAGTTTAGCTATGTCTGTAAGCAATACACTTGTAATCGTGTAAACTTATAAATGATAGAATTGACTAGTAGATTAGTACATAAATACAAATTACTTAATTAGATATGACTACATGAGTGATTGACTAATATGGCTATATAATCAATTGTCAATTTGGTATAGTTGCATAACAGATTAATTAACAGTGTACTAGACCATCCTACTCGGTAATATACTAATAGCATTTCAGTATTTGATCTATTAGACTCAAGTTAAAAGTTACTCTTTCTTATTAACTTGTTAGTCTAATTAAGTAATTAGTAATTACTAATTAATGACTTAAGCCTCAGGGGTAAACCAGCAAAGGATATACAAAAATATAATAATCTTATGATTCTCATCCCTTTATACTAATATATATTTAACTATGAGAATATGAGATGGTTAGGTGTTATGTATATGTATAATCGATTGAAAGAATCAATATTACCTTCTTATTCACTAATGTTTTCTTTCATTATACAAATCAAACTACTTTGTAATATCTTCATATATAACTTTATGCAAATATATAATGATAAACGAGTCTTGATTAACAGTCTTGTTGACTAATTAAGAACCGAACCCGTTAACGAACCGGACCAGTTATAAACCGAACTAAAATAAAACTGAACCAAAAAAGAACCGAACCGCTTCTAACCCGAAACTGTTTGAACCGGGATAAAAAACCGTTTACACCGAACCGTTAACAAACCGCAACCCGTCTGCACCGAACCGTTTACTACCCGAACCGTTTACAACCCGAACCGAATTTAAACCGGGATAAAAACCGTTTACACCGAACCGTTAACAAATCGCAACCCGTCTGCACCGAACCATTTACTACCCGAACTGTTTACAATCCGAACCGAATTTAAACCGTGGTTCGAATAAACCGAAACCGAATCGACCCGATAATTATTTAAACCGAATTGAAACCGATCCGTAAGACTTTTGAACCAATTTCAAACCGAATCGATTTCAAACCGAACAGATTTCAAACCGAACCGAAACTGAACTGTCAAACCGTTTTGACAGTACTACAAATATAATAAAAAGAATTTATAATTGTGTACATTTTAAAGTCATCTTTTCACTCAAAACATGTAAAATCTTTGTTTTAACTTAAATTAAACTACAAAAAATTAAAATAATATAAACAAAAGAAAATTCGTGTCTACAACAAAATTTTGTGGACTTTGTAATTAGAAGAAGTAATCACATATATACATGGTTAATATTTGCTTTCTATAAGATTAGCTATATGTACCTTAAAGATAATGTACTGTATAAAATTACTTTGCAGTCAATATTTAGTTTTTTCAAAAAAAAAAAAAAAATGGAAGAGGAAAAAAAAAGTTTAGGTGGAAAAAAATTAAAGGAGAAGATGACACATGTACAATTTGGGGTAAGTGATGATGTCAGCGGTTGTTATTTTATTATTAGTTATAGATTAGGTTTAATTATAGGAAAAAGGTACTTTCTCCGTATTTAAATAAGTGAAACTGTAACACCCCCAACTCCAAACAAATTGGGGAGGGGCCTATTGTCACAAAATGGGCATCAAGGGCCAACCACTGTCCCCACAGACCAACACAAGTCCTTCCGACGCTGTAACATAATAATTCTCCCTTTTTCAAACCACTTACTTTAAATAAAATAGAGGAGAACCATTGACATGTTACCGCCACGTGTTAAAACGTTAAGGATTTATCAAAGTATCGCAGCGGAAAACCAAACTTAAGTCTTTAAGAAAATAATATAGTTTAGAAAACCAATAAGTCAAAGTTTACAAACTGGAACCATAAAGGCATTTATTTAAAACCAAACCAATATTCAAAACCCAAATCATAAATGAAATAACAAAATATAAATAAGTTAAACACAAAGAACGAATACTCTCAATCACACTAATCCCTTGATAATGCGTTTGCCAAATCCCTGAACTTCACATAATCAAGCTAACTAGTGCAATACTGCTCCCCAATAATACAAGTGTAATAATTGGATCATCATAGGGTCATTGAAAGGCGAAGGCCATGACCAAAAGAAAACACACAAAAGCACGCAATCAGCAAAGATGAGTACATACAAGCTACAACGCAACAAACCTAACATGCTCAACTAATTATAGTAAACAAACGTTCAACATGAATTCATTAACCAGTCTCCACACTAAAATAGTTCAATCAACTCCACATACTCACTTACCAATTCCAATCACTTGACTCTTTATATTTAATTTGATTAATTTAATTTGGAGTAAGTAATAGACGAGGTTGTCCAACCCTCCAAATCATTTTGGTCCCAAATGACCATTTAAAATAAAAATATAGCGCGATGCAAGAATGGGAACGACTTCATTCTTACAAAATTAGTCTAGGATCCCATCTAACTTTAATTATAAACTAAAATGTAAATTCCAGAGTTTTATTGCTCATCCATGTTTCACTTTACGTGATTACAAGTTTAATTAATAGCCGACTCATTCAAGTAAACCATACATTATAATCATACATATAATTCACTTTTAATCTTAATTAGGACAATGATGATCATATCACAAATTGACCTTTAGCTCCTTTTAAATTCCAAAGTATCCAAAATTTTTGAACATAGTCAACCCACCTAGCCATTTCGGCTTAATCCACTTTTACTCAACATACTAACAAGTCATGCTTGAGTAATAAATAAAATAATAATAATAACCTCATGGAATAATTAATAAATTCATTCCACTTAAACCATTCAATTCAAATCCTTTAATATTCCAAATGTGGTTAATAGGCCAATCCAATAAAATATGCTTGTATCAATATTCCATACAAACAATTAATCCAATATAATTCACATGCTTGCATCCATGATTCCATACAAACATAATAATCAATTTGCCAAAACATGTCTCATAAACATAAGCACATGAATTATTTTCAATGTATAACCAAACAATTTCCATCCAAGATTTCCCTAAACATGAAACTAGGTTCTTTCCTTTTGGTACCTAAACATGATACTACTTACAACGAAGTAGACATGTACGTACCTCGTGTAAACAATCCATTGTGCCACTTTTAATCAATTAAAAGTCTCCCACAGAATAATCACTTCCTAGAAAACAACCAACAATCATAAATTAATACCCAAACAAATTTTCAGCAATATAATTTTATTAAAAACTCCTTAAAACTTCCTTAAAAACATGTTTTTATGCTTAATTAATGATTAGAAATACAATAGGAATAAAAGCCCTAATTTAATTACTCATTAGAACCCTAAAATCCCAATTTTAATAAATTAAAACCCTAGGTTTATAAATCATAAAATTTGAAAATTTAAAACATAAATATAATCTGAAATTAAATTCTTTATACCATCAAAAATATGGTTTTGATACTAAATAAATAAACTTTAAACAATAAAAATCAAAAATAAATAAATACATATATAAATATGCAAATGGGAATAGAAACAAAAGGAGGAAGAAGAATCATAGGCCACATGGGCCAGTGGGTCGCCGGCTGAAGTGGCAGCAGCGTCGGCGGACCGGTGGCCGGCGTCAACTCCGGCGGTATGTGGTGGCAGCAACAACAGTGAGCAATGCTCACGTATGGAGGAGGGGGGAAAGAAAGAAAAGAAGAGAAAAAAAAAGAAAAGAGAGGAAAAGAAAAAAAAATAAAAAAAAAATAAAGGAAAAAGAAAAATAAGGGGAGAAGAAAAACACTAACTTTTTGTGTGGGAAATTTTCGGGGATTCATGGGGTATTTATAGGAGAGAGTTGTAGGGTATAATTGAGCCTCATGAAAATAATGGGCCAATTAATTAATAAAAATGGATGGACTTTTTTTTTTTTTTTTTTGTATGGGCATAAATTGTACGTAATAGGTACATTAAAAAAAAAATCATAATGTAATAAAATAATTTTCCACCCAAAATAATTTGAAATTATAAAATAAATTCCGGAAAAATAAAATTAAATATTATAAATAAAATAAAATTTCATTTATAAATTATTTAAAAATACAGGGGACTACAATCTACCCCTCTTAAAAGAAGTATGGTCCCGAAACTTAGCTCAAAATCCCTTAAATTGCAAAACATTTGCATAAAACCATTTCAAAATTTTTAATATTATGTTGCTGGAGTTCCAATTGTGTCATAATATCGACACTAATACCTTATCACCATCCAAATTTATGTACTTCACTTGATACGTAGACAATAAAATAGCTATGAAAAGCATAAAAACACCACAAAGTAGCATAAAATAGGGCAAAAAACACGAAATTATACGCATTCTACCCCCCTTAAAGAACAAGAGTTACGCCCTTGTAACTCACCTCATTAAATAACTCAGGGTATCTCTTTCTCATATCATCCTCGGCCTCCCAAGTAGCGTCCTCATACTCTTGGTTTGACCAAAGAACTTTAACAATTCTCACGTCCTTATTGCGTGTACTACGCACCTTATAATCCAAAATTTTCATAGGTCTTTCCTCATAAGTCAAAGTCTCATCCAATTGGATTGATTTAGGTTGTAACACATGCTTTGAATCAGGAACATACTTTTTCAACTGAGAGACATGAAACACATCATGCATTTTCTCAAATTCCATAGGTAATGCCAATTTGTAAGCAACCTTGTCTACACGTTCGAAAATTTCATAAGGATCTACATACTTGGCACTCAATTTGCCCTTCTTTCCAAATCTCATCACTCCTTTTGTAGATGAGACCTTCAAAAAGACTTTATCACCCACATTAAACTCATCATCTCGCCTTTTCAAATCGGCATAGATTTTTTTCTTATCTTGTGTAGCTTGAATTCTCGAACGAATCAACTTCACTTTATTCACCATTTCCTCAATATACTCTGTTCCTAAGACAAGATTCTCACTGTAGTCATTCCAACGTACAAGACTTCCACACTTTCGACCATATAATGCTTCAAAAGGTGCCATGCCAACGCTAGCATGGTAGCTATAGTTTTAAGAAAACTCAATCAAATCCGAATGATCCTCCCAAGTACCTTGAAAATCCAAGGCACATGCCCTTAGCATATCTTCTATGGTTTGATTGGTCCTATCAGTTTGTCCATCTGTACGGGTTGCTGGGTAGTACGCAGTACTCATTTTCAATGTTGTTCCCAAGTTAGCTTGAACCTTTTGCCAAAATTTGGACAAGAACCTTGAATCTCGATCGGAGATGATGTCTTTAGGCACTCCATGTAGTCGAACTACATTCTTCACATAGACCTTTGCCAATTGTTTCTTTTTCCAAGTTTCCTTTATTGGAATAAACACCGCAGACTTTGTAAGTCGATCTACAATCACCTAAATAGTGTCATTGCCACTTTTGGTTCTAGGAAATCCTATGACAAAATCCATGGATATTAAATCCCATTTCCAATATGGAATCTCCAAAGGTTGAACCTTTCCCATAGGTCTCTTGTGATTAATCTTGAACTTTTGACAAGTCAATCATTTACTCACAAACTCAACTACTTCTCTCTTCATGTTTGGCCACCAATACAACTCTTTTAAGTCCTAGTACAACTTGTCTCCTCCTAGGTGCACAGACTATGGAGTATTGAGGCTTTCTTCCATGATTTTTCTCTTTAAATCCTCACACTTTTCTGGTATGCACCACCTTTCTTTGTAACTCAAACTTCCATCATCATGGATCCTGAAATCTACATTCTTCCCTTGGCTCATTTTCTCCTTAATTAATTGGATTCCTTCATCACCTTTCGGACTCTCTTTTATTTCATCCAACAATGAACTCCCAAGTGAAAGAGAACTCAACCTTGCTTCTACTTCACCATAGTTCACAACCTCCAAGTTCAAACGCTTCATATCTTCACATAACTCGTAGGCACGATTAAAGCATTCACACCATGACTTGATTTCCTAGTCAAGGCATCCACAACAACATTTTCTTTCCCTTCATGGTACTGTATGTTTATGTTACAGTCATTGAAAAACTCCAACCAATGCCTCTGTCTCATATTGAGATTTGTCTGAGTGAAAATATACTTTAGACTCTTGTGATCCGTAAAGATCTTACACCTTACTCCATACAAATAATGCCTCCAAATCTTCAATGCAAACACTATAGCTGCAAGCTCAAGGTCATGTGTTAGGTAATTAACTTCATGAGATTTGAGTTCGCGAGAAGCATAAGCTATCACTTTCCCATTTTGTTGCAACACACACCCTAATCCATTGTTTGAAGCATCACTATAAACTTCAAATCCATCACTTCCATCAGGTAAGGCTAAAACAGGTGCGGTTGTTAAATGCTCTTTAAGAGTTTGAAAGGCTTGTTCAAACTTCTCATCCCATTTAAACTTACTTTCCTTCTTCATTAAAGTAGTTAAAAGTCTAGCAATCTTCGAAAAAATCCTTCACAAACCTTCTGTAATAGCCAGCTACTCCCAAGAAACTCCTTATGTCAGACACATTCTTAGGCGTAGGCCACTCACTCATTGCTTGAACCTTTGCTGGATCCACATAAACACCTTCTTTAGACACATAATGTCCCAATAATGCAACCTTCTCTAACCAAAAATTACACTTCAAAACTTAGCATACAACTTATTGAATTTAAGAGTTCTCAGCACAGTCCTCAAATGCTCATTATGTTCTTCCTCACTTTTCGAGTATACCAAAATATCATCAATAAAAACAACCACAAACTTATCCAAATACTCATGGAATACTCAATTCATCAAATCCATAAAGATTGCTGGTGCATTGATCAACCCAAAAGGCATAACTGTAAACTCATAGTGCCCACATCTAGTCTTAAAAGCAGTCTTAGGTATATCCTTATCAACACCTCTCAATTGATGGTACCCCGAACGTAAATCAATCTTAGAAAACATACTAGATCCCTTCAATTGATCAAACAAATCATCGATCCTAGGCAGTGGGTACTTATTCTTTATCGTCACATTATTCAACTCCCTATAATCAATGCACAACCTCATGCTCCCATCTTTCTTCTTCACAAACAACACTGGTGCTCCCCAAGGAGATGCACTTGGCCTAATATATCCCTTATCCAATAATTCTTGCAATTGTACTTTCAACTCTCCCATCTCAGCAGGTGCCATTCTATATGGTGCCTTAGAAATCGGTGTCGTTCTAGGAACCAAATCTATTGTAAACTCCACCTCCCTCTTTGGTGGCATCCCAAAAATCTCTTTAGTAAGTACATCCAAAAATCATTCACAATTGGCACATCTTCTACATTCACCTTATTACTCATTTCCAAGTCTTGCACACAACAAAAGAAAAGAGGGTTCCCTTACTCACAAGTTTCGACAACTTCATTGCAGAAATAATCCCAATACCTCTTGGTTTCCCAAAACGAACTTCAATTTTCCCCCCTAATAGAGAGTTGTCAAGATCCACCACTGTGCAAGAGCAACCGATTCAAATGAAATTAAGAACCATTCTCAATATATTAAACTTAGATTTTTTATTATCTAATTAGTTAGAGAAGAAAGTTGATCAAATTTGCAATTAATTAAGAAAACCTAATTAAATTCATATTCCCGTGCCAAATAAAGACTATCATGCAATTATGTTAACAATCAATGGTAGCTACTCCTATCAATACAAACAACACGCGAGCTTCATATAATCTATTTAATCACAAGAAATCACCAAAACTTCACCCAAATTAACTTAATATTCAATTTGGTTAAGCTTCACCCAGCCCCCCTAACTAAGTGAACTACTCATTACCAATGGTGAGTAAGATGCTCAATATAAAGTCTAGAGCTTTAATAGTTCAATAATTGGGGAAAATAAATGTAGTAAGGATAAAATCAACTTGCAGCAACAATAATTAATAAAGATCAAGACAGATATATAAACTTTAATTACATAAGAAATTACAATATTGCAAGAGAAAAGGATAGATATAACTAGATTGTAGCTCCAAAGTTGAGTACAATTGCTGAACATAAGAGAACAGGTTTTGAGATCCACTTCTACAATATTTTTCTTGAGAAATCCTATGTTAAATTAACCAACTAATTGAAATTTATTTTCAATTGCCAATTAGGAGGAAAAATACTAAAATCTTGTTCTAATAATTGTTGTATATACAAATGAGCCAAATGAAAGTATTTATACTTCCACAAATTACATTATTCGAGAATCTGATCCGTAAAAAGTTGCGCATCACATATAGAAGCACCCGCTCCAAAGAGGAGGAACGCGCGCTCCTATATATTCAGGTTGCACGCCCGCTTCTGTTTCTTCAGTGTTGTGGTAGAATTGAGTCTAACAATTACGAGCCCCTACTCCGAACTTGGTGCATGTCCGCTCCAGCCACTATGTTACATGCCAAGCAAATTCTCAACATCCCGCCCCTCAGTGAGTACACGCGCTTCTAACTTTGGAAAAGTGGGCAGTAGATGGAGCATGGCTTAGGAGCAGGGCCTGAGCATGCTGGGCACCTCTTTGGGTCTTCTTTGCTCAATAAAAACTGCATGCAACTTATCCTTTACACCTACAAACACGAGCAAAAACACAACAAGGACGAAAAGACCGAATACACTACTAATATACTAAAATGGTTTAGAAAAGAAGGTTAAAATAAGGAAAAGAAAAACTATGATAATGGAATTAAAACTAGTGACACTTTATACATTTATCCACTTATCAATTTTGTGTTCGGTGACGCACCAATTCACACAGTATGGAAGATGCCCGTTTGTTGCTTGACACTTAAATTTTGTTTATGGTGGAGGTTCTACATTAATGGTGAGCTTTAGTTCTTGGTTTCCATTATAAGGTGGAGTTATTTTGTTTGATCGATTCCCAACCTAGGGAGAAATTTGTTAATTGTGACTTGAAATCTAGTGAGATGGCATAGGGTTGACTTCAAATAGATATATCTCTCGATCTATAAAGTACCGTGAGATGATTCAAATTAGAGATGATACAAGCTTGTTTTAAGAGATTTCTAATGATATGCATATGGAAAATTCTGATGAGAAACGAGAAATTTATATATCACCATTTTACGAAGAGCTATCAAACCTAAAATTCGCTAACCAATGCTTAACCCGACACACTCGTGCCTAATCGAAAATTTCAGATTTTTAGCCTTTTCCTCAGCCTTTTGTACAGGGCACGAACATGCTCTGCATAGTACAACCGTGCCTAGTCTAGTGGGGCTTTTTTGGGTCTGGTTGAAACATAACTTGTTTTATGGAATGTTTCCTAAAATCATATTTCTATGACAGCTATTTGAGTTATACTTGGGGAGTGTTTTAGAATTTTATTATAGTTTCCTTATGTTATAAAATGACCTTTAGGTGATCAATTAGGTCACACCCATGAGCCAGTAAAATTAGGACTCCTTTTATATTCTTGTTGCTCTTTTTCCATTATAGTGAAGAAACTCTAAAATCCCCAAACATGGACGTTAGTGTAATTTGATTCTACCACGTAAATTCTTGTGTTCTTTGTTTGTTTTCCTTATCATTTAATTTCTCTCGAATTTTCATTGACGTGTTCCTCATTAATTAAACAAAACATGCTCGTTAGTTTATAAAACAAACAGGCCAAGTTAATTGGATGTATAGTAATAAGTTATAGCAACATAAACCAACTTAGCCGGGTAGAAAAGTACTCTCTCCGTTCTAAGTGTTACATTTTTACTTTTGCTTTATTCAAATACACCACTTTAACCAATGTTCGGTCTATAAATATACAGGATTAAACAATAAACAACATAGTCATTTTGGTACTTGTTAACAATCATTTCAAAGTATAATTTTCGAATTTCAACTTTTTATATATATTCCTACTTATTAATAATAAAAGATATTACTAATCAAAATTTATTAGCATTATTATGTATTTTGGTTAAAATGTGACACTTAAAAAACAAGGGAATAGAATTAGGGGTGTCAATTCGGGTAAACAGTTCGGGTTTG